TTCAGATTTTTTTATCCTTTTTTGTATTTGTTCTTCTATCTTAGTAGTGTTGAGAGATTTATCTTCTAGCTCACTAGTTCTAGCTTCTGTCTTTTCAATTCTGCTCCTTTGCCCTTTCAGTGTATTGTCCATTTCTGATATTCTATTATTAATTGTTTGTACCTCTTTCTGTAGGTTTTGAATTGTTTCCAGTGCTGTATCTATCTTATTTTATTGTTCCTGTAGTACTTTCCTGACTACTTCCTTATTTTTCTCAACTCCATTGTATAGTGTTTTGATACATTTTATAATCATTTTTCTGAATTCCTTCTCAGGCATTTCCAAATCCTGCCCATCTTGCAGTATGGAGTATAGGTCTACTTCCAGCTCATTTGCCTCAGTCACTTTATCTTTTTTCTTGATATGTGCAGATATGGTCATCTGCTTCTGTCATCTTCAGGGGTTATCTGTGGCCTTAATACTTAGATGGGTGCATATTTTGGTATTTTTTATGCTTTCTGATTGCCTCCAGGTGGATGTGATCAGGAAATGGGCTTCCCTTTTCACTCTTCTTCCTGAGAAGTTTCAAGATACCACTGTTGGTCGTTTTTTTTTTTTTATGTAACTTAGGATTTAATTTTTGGCCTGTTTCCTTTTTTTTCTGCTTATCCCGCTCCACAGTCCCCCATTCAGGCCCCTTTTCTAGTTGTAAACAGTTCAGGGCTGGCTGTGGCCTTTTGGTTTTACTTGGGAACTGTCTCTTTAAATTTTGAGAAGATCTATGCACATGTGTAATAGAACCCTCCGAGGGTGGGGCTGGGGTGTCCACTAGCTCAGGCACCCCTATAGTTACCAGAATGGAGGTGCTCAGACAGCAAGGGACCAATAAACAGATACCAAAAGAAAAGAATGTCCGTACTTTTATCTCCACGGTTCTGCCAGGCGTCTATGGCCACTCTGTTCCTTCCTCCACATGGTATCACCCAAGATGGTGGCTCCTAGAGCAGCTGAGCGTTCCGAACTAGAAAGCAATGGATTTCTTGCTTCTGCCACAAATTCCCCCAGCTGTAAGCCTTCCAACCTTCTAAATATTCCTTTATATGTGGTTCAGAGTTCTGGAACCATCCCCTGAGCCTGCTTGGTCCGGTATTCTGTGTTGTTGTTGGCGGAGCTCCTTACTGCACTTCCACCCGATCCGCCATCTTTTTTGTCCCTCCTATAAAGTTTATAATCATTTTTGAGTGATCGGGACAGATAGTCTTGCTCATATACAGTTTTTAATTTTTTTCCATCATAGACCTGAGGCAACTTTGGAACAAGAACCAGTTACTGCTGCTTATCCTGTAGAACATAGTCAATTGGAGTCTCATCCGAAAGCAGACTTTATCAGAGAATCAAGTGAGACAGAAGTACAGAAGTTCCTAAGCAGATCTGTGGAAGACATTAGACCCCACCATAGTGACACAAGCAGTCTGTCTACTTGTTTTGAAGTAGCTGATCCAAAGACCATATCCACTCCTCAAGAAGAGCGGATTTCAGCTGGAGAAAGTCAGCCTGTTCGGAAAAGAAGTGTTTCCCATGGATCTAACCATACTCAGAAATCAGAGGAACAAAGAAATGAACCATTTGTTAGCATTCCCAAAGCAACTAGCAGATGCATTGATTCAAAAGAACCAGCAGAAAGAATAGAGGAAAAAACAAAAAAGGATGGGTTCATACGATCTTCTGAAGGACCAAAATCTGAAAAACTATATAAATCTAAATCGGAAACTCGTTGGGGTCCAAGACCAAGTTCAAACAGACGGGATGAAGGTAATGATAGACCTATAAGAAGATCAGGTCCCATTAAGAAACCTATACTTAGAGATATGAAAGAGGAACGGGAGCAAAGGAAAGAGAAAGAAGGAGAAAAGGTCATAGAAAAAGTTGTAAAACCTGAAAAGACAGAAAAGAAGGATCCCCTTCCTCCACCCCCCCCACCTCCAGCACCAATCCAGCCACAGTCAGGTCCACTACCACCTCAACCAGAACTAGAAAAACCTCCTTCATCAGAAACTTCAGCTTTGGCTCAAAAGGCAACACAGGATACTGAGAAGCCATCAGAGCATTTGAATAGTGGTCAAGTAGAGCCTGCAGTGAAAACTGTAAGCCAACAAACTGTGTCAGCAACAACAATCAAAGAAGAGAAACAACCAGAGAAGGTCATCACTAAAGACGTTGTTACAGAAAGGCCTCGACCAGATTCAAGATCACTAGTTAGAAAAGAACCAACTTTCCAAGCCCCCAGGACCTATTGGAAAGAAGCTAGAGATAGAGATTGGTTTCCAGATCAAGGGTACCGAGGTCGAGGCCGTGGAGAATACTACTCCAGAGGTCGAAGCTACAGAGGCTCTTATGGAGGGCGTGGCCGAGGTGGCAGAGGGCACACTCGAGATTATCCTCAGTATAGAGACACTAAGCCAAGACCGGAGCACATACCCTCAGGGCCTCTCCGGCAACGCGAAGAAAGTGAAACACGAAGTGAGAGCTCTGATTTTGAAGTTGTTCCTAAAAGAAGACGACAGCGAGGTTCAGAGACTGACACAGACAGCGAAATTCATGAAAGTGCAAGTGACAAGGATAGTTTAAGCAAAGGTAAACACCCCAAAAGAGAGGAACGATCTGAAAACAAAAAACCCATAAAGCCTCAGTCTTCTTTCAAGCCAGAAAACCATGTCCGAATAGACACTAGGCCACTTGAAAAACCTTTTATGAGGGAAGATAATAAATCTAAACCAGGCTTCCTTCCTAAAGGGGAACCAACCAGGCGAGGCCGAGGGGGCACATTTAGACGTGGTGGAAGGGATCCTGGAGGTCGCCCATCACGCCCTTCCACCTTACGCAGGCCTGCATATAGGGACAATCAGTGGAACCCAAGGCAGGCAGAAGTTCCTAAACCAGAAGATGGAGAGCCACCCAGAAGACATGAGCAATTTATTCCTATACCAGCAGATAAACGACCTCCAAAATTTGAGCGAAAATTTGACCCAGCTAGAGAGAGGCCCCGAAGGCAGCGCCCTACTCGACCACCCAGGCAAGATAAGCCACCTCGGTTTAGACGACTAAGGGAGAGGGAAGCTGCTTCTAAAACAAATGACGTGATAGTGCCCACAAATGGTATAGTTAGCAATGTGGTGCAAGAACCAGTCAGTACTGCTGGGGATGTTTCTGGGAATAAGACACCAGATTTATCTAATCAGAACTCTTCAGACCAGGCAAATGAAGAATGGGAAACGGCTTCTGAAAGCAGTGATTTCAATGAGAGGCGTGAGAGGGATGAAAAAAAAAATGCTGATTTGAATGCACAGATAGTTGTTGTTAAGGCTGGAGAGAATGTTTTACCTCCAAAGAGGGAAATAGCAAAGAGAAGTTTTTCTAGTCAGAGACCTGGAGTAGATCGTCAGAATCGCCGCAGCAACAATGGTCCACCCAAGTCAGGAAGGAATTTCACAGGTCCTAGGAATGAAAGAAGAAGTGGCCCACCATCAAAAAGTGGGAAGAGAGGGTGAGTGTTTTACTCTCATTATGACTACTTTTGTACCTCTAAAGAACATAAAGGTAGTTCTTCAGGTTTAACTATACAAAGAGACCCGTGTAGATAGAGCACCAAGACATTGTTCTCCCACGATGCTTTAATGTGTCTCAAGATACTTTGTTAAATTACATTTTAACAAGTTTAGCTTATCTATGACATGATGTACAAATAAACACAACAGGGACCTTAAAGGAACAATTAGAAATCTAGGACTTTATTATTGGAAAGTACTCTAAGGAGTCAGACCATCTCCATGTTTGAGAGACTTAATTTTAGTGAGTTGTACTCCCCAAGCGTCACAAAGACTTGTTAGTGTTAGAATTAATGTTTTCTAGTTCAGTACTGTTTTCTTTTTAGATTGAGCTTTAGATTGTACTAGTAAGAACTGTTTTTCTTTTGTTTGCATATGTGGAGACAGTAATAGCTCCATTATTATTATTTTGTAGACCATTTGATGAGCAGTCCTCAGGTACGACTGCCATTGACCCTATCAATGGCAACTCTGCACATCATCAGGAAGGACCACCTAATGGTACAGGACAAAAGAACTCCAAAGATATGACTGGGAAAAAAAGAGAAGACCCCAAACCAGGTCCTAAAAAACCCAAAGAGAAAGTAGATGCTCTCTCACAGTTTGATCTCAACAATTATGCAAGTATGTTGTAAATATTTTTACATTTTTAATATCTTAAGGAGGGAGTAGTGGTAGTTCAATGATGGAATTCTTGCCTTGTAACTGGGAGACCTGGGTTTACTTCCTAGTCACCATGCCTAATACATAGTTTGTGTGTTGCTACAATGCTGAACAGGTTTTAGCCAAACTTCCAGACTAAGACTTGGAAAAAGGACTGGCAATTTACTTAGGAAAATCAACCATGGAAATCATGACAATCTGATCCATAGCTAATCTTAAGCATGACATAGGACCAGGCAGCAATTCGTTTTATTGTGCACGATGTCACCATGATGCGGGGAATAACCTGTCACCAGAGAAGCATTGGATCTTCCAGGTGAAGATAGATAGAGGCTGTTAGTTGATGAGTCACTAATGTAGAACTAAAACAACAGTTTCCAGCGTAGCATTGAATGCGTGAAGATTTTGTTAGCGATCTCTCATAGAATTTCACTGTACTTCTTTTAAAAGGAGAAAATGAAGTAACCATTCTACCTTGTCAAATAGGTGTGGGAAAGCACAAAAAGCAAACGTGAAATAATTTATATATAGGTTGTCTCTTAAAAGATTATGTAACTATTAAATTATATTCAAGATACCATGAATAGAAAATAAAATAACAATAACAGGACACAGTGTTGCTGTAGAAAAAAGCTGTGTAGTGATGGGTATCAACAGCAGAGTATAAACCTAAGCAGTAAGAAAATACACCTGGTTATTAATTTCCTTATGTATTTGTTGATAGACATTTGTTGGTTTTAGATGCTGACAAGCTTATAGTGACCTTGTGGGCGACAAAATGAAACACTGGTCCTGTCCCACCTTCAAATTAGTTGCTTTGTGGAATCCATTGTTGAGTGTCAGTCCATCTTATTGAGAGCGTCCTTGTCTCTGTCCCTCTACTTTATCAAGCATGATGTCATTGGGGGACTAGACTCTACTGATAACATGTCCAACATATGTGAGACAAAGGCTCTCACCGTCCTTGTTGAATCCTTGGCAATTTCAATATTCTTTGTGTTTTCCAGTGTTGCTGCTTATTGGTCCAGTTGTATTTATTTTAAGGCATAATCAACAAAAGGATGGTGGTGGTTATGTGCCTTGGAATTGATTCCGACTCATAGCCACCTTGTATAGGGTTTCCAAGGTGTTACATCTTTATGGGAGCAGAAAGACTCAACGTTCTCCTGCAGAATCCCTGGTGTTTCAAACTGCTGACCTTGAGGCTAGCAGCCTGACTCATTACCACTACGCTGTTGATATATGTAAAAATATACTACTTTCCATTTATTCATGTAATGAATCTGGAAATACTGAATAAAATTGTAAGAGATTTGCTAAGTTAAATTAGATAATAGTTTTTGAGTGACATTGTGCCTGTTCCTACTCACAGTGATCCTGTGTAGGATTTCTGAACCTTTAAATATTTGCATGTGCAGAAAGCCTCAAGGTTAAATGCTAGAATTCTGTTATTACTGGTTTAGGTAAAAATTTTCTTTATCTGTTTAATGGTTACTTTTTAGGGGACTGCAGTAGCTATGTAGGAAAAGCACTGAATTATGAACTACAAGGTTTGTAGCTTTAGCTTACCAGCCATTCCATGGGAAAAAGATACAGCTATCCGTTCCTACAAAAATCTGTAGCCTCAGAAACCTAATACAAGAACCAACTCAATGGCATTTATTAATACATATTAAATCCTGATTTTGACCCAGGTCCAAAATATTTATGAACCAATGGTTCTCAAAGTATGAATCCCAAACCACCAGCATTACCTGGGAATTAGTGAGGAAAGCAAATTTCGTGCCCTAACCCCAGACCTGGGGAGTGCACTGGCTCTGGACAATAAGCACTGGATTACAGACCATATGTTGGCAGTTCGAGCACACCAGTCGTTCCATGGGAGAAAGATGATTCTGTTTCCATGAAGATACACAGCCTCGGGAACCTTATACAGGGTCGCTGAGTCAGTACCAATTCAACAGCATTCAACAACAGCCAAGACTTAACTGATTCAGAAGCTATTTGGGAGTAGGGGTTGTACAGTCAATTTTAACATTCCTCTAGCTGATTCCAATGCATGCCACCATTTAAGGACTACTGTTTGATGCAGAAAAGAAATAACCGGAAGTTAATTACATGATTTCAAATTTTTAATAGATTGTTTAACACAGTCATTTTTAATAGAGGTGAAAATGGAACAGAGGGAAGAAAAGGGAGTACTTCTGACATCTAATTGTTGTAGACCAGGGATATTGCTGTAGATCCTATACTGACCAAGACAACCAGCCCAAAATGACATATTTAAGTTTCTTTTCTTTAGGATGTTTTCTTAACAGTTGAGTAAGAACTTTTTAGCCCAAAATGTTACCAGTACCAGGACAAGAACCAAGGTATTGAAATCAAAAGACAGTGTTGTTCCATTTTTCATGAATGCTGTTTGGTTGAATTAATTATAATTGTTTGAAAGATTCTAAAGAATTTCCTTTCAAGGAAGCTTAAAATGAGAAGTGATGGCAGGATTGTGACAATATGTACATTTTTTTTTTTGTCGAAGTGAAAACCAGGTTAATTTACCAATCTAAAATTATAACAGCCTAACTTTTAATTGAAATGCACATAAACTTCCATTTTACAGTTTGTAATTTCTCAATTTAAAACATGTACATCATCTAAAACACATATTCTTAAGCTTTTTATTTTGAATTAGTTTTTATTAGAATAACAGTAGTAGGTGTTTAAAGAATGAGACGCAGCCTTAGAATTCATTTTTCATTTCTACTCATTCTTTACATAAATGCAAATATTTAGCTATTTAAAAAATAAATATTTACAAATTGACTTTCCACATAAACCTCTTCTTAATAATATCCTCTGGGCATGATCAAAAAGTTACTAGCAACATCCTGAATTGTATAATTTTAAATCCCAGGCAAATTTCTTTTTACTGTATATGTGTTCCCCAGTTAGAACACATTATATATTGTAAAATTAAAATAATAATTTATTTGTATTTCCTCATCATTTTCTTGATTTATGTTTTTTGTGCAGATATTGTACATACAACCAAAAATTGTACAACTTCAACAAATTTCTTTTTCCTTGAAGTGGTATTTAAAGAATTTAGATTTTTTTTTTTTTAAATTCTCACTGAAGTATATAATTTTTAACAAGATAACCAAAATTTGATAGCATAGTGGTTACGAATCAGACTGCGAACCTTAAGGTCAGTAGTTCGAAAAACTATCAGCTGTTCCGCTGGAGAAAGATGAGGTTTTCTGTTCATGTAAAGATTTACAGCCTCGGGTCGCTATGAGTCAGAACTGACTTAATGGCACATACCCACCACCACCAGAAAAACTAGATGCAAATGAGGTAAAGTACTATGTATATTTAAAGCACTATGGACTCCTCGTACGGCACTGTAGGATAAGCACTGGGCATCGAACCACAGGTGGACAGTTGAAACCCACCAGCCACTCCTAGAGGTCTCTCCGTGAGTTGGAACTGACTCAGCAGCACTAGACAGCAAAAACAGTGCACATCTGAGACTGAGAGAAGTAGATTAAATAATTTAACTAAGGCCATAGGATAATTTTTATTTAGGTAATGCTCCTATATTGCTTAAGACAAAAAAGATGGGTAAATAGAGACATACATCATCTAAAACATATAGTTGTAAACTTTTTATTTTGAACCTTGTTTCTAAAACCTTTTCAATCTTGATCCTTAACATCATTGGTCATCTTATGGGGTAGAAAATGGGAGATGGGTTATGCTGTGAAGTATCTTTGGCTTGTTTCTTTCTGAGTATAAAAATATTGGATTACAAAAACATACTGTTACATTTAAACATTTAACTCTTCAACTGAAACACAAAAATACCACTTTGAGTTTTTTTGATACCCACAGGTGTTGTTATAATTGATGACCATCCTGAAGTAACAGTAGTTGAAGATCCCCAGTCAAGTTTGAATGATGATGGTTTTACTGAAGTGGTATCCAAGAAACAACAAAAACGTTTACAGGATGAAGAACGCCGGAAGAAGGAAGAGCAAATCATACAGGTTTAAAATTTGTTTCAGTTTGTTGTTAATTATTAACATTATCCAATGTATATTGCCAAATGATCAAATTTTTTACCTGTGAAATCAAAACTGTTTCTCTTTGTTGTTCCAGTGTTGAAAGTGACATAGCTTTAACAACTTTCAACTGCTATGAAGCAGGTGACTTAGAATTTAAATAGACTGTGTGTAGTGCTGTGGAGTAAAGCACCAAGACTGTAAGGTAGTTTTGAACCACAAAGTCAGTTCAGACTCACCAGCCACTCCTTGGAAACCCTATATACAGGGTCACTATGAGTCGGAACCAACTAGATGGCATTTAACAATAATAACGCGTAATTACAATAGCCCATTGTTTGTTCCTGAATAAATGCTAAATATATTTTTTTAAATGAACCAATATAAAAAAAATACATTTTCCATTTTAGTGCTGTTTATCACTGTGAGACGGAACCCATTTGATTTGGCACTCAGTAACAACAGCAATATAGTATAGTTCATGTGCCTTGTATAGCATAGCCCACAGCATCACTTCTAGAATTGTTTCCATTCTGTAGCTGACACATATTGAATGAAAACTGAAGAAGATTTTGTTGCTAAATGAATGTATCGTGTATTTTTTCAGTATTCTGGGTTTCAGAATTATGGAAAAGAGACCCTTAGACCATATATTTTTGTATTTCCCCCGTATATAACCTTCATTTCTCATAAAAATCTCATTAGCAGCCTTAACATTTCATCCTATGGAGAAAATATTTGAAAAGTAAAGGAGACAAAATAAGCAGTAGGTAGTTCCTTTAGAAATTATATTTATGAACCGTTGCTTTTCAGCTACATTATTAACAAAAAATTCTACGAATTTTTTAAGGTTTGGAACAAAAAGAATGCAAATGAAAAAGGAAGAAGTCAAACATCAAAGCTTCCTCCAAGATTTGCCAAAAAGCAGACTACAGGGACCCAACAAGCACAGTCTCAAGCCTCAGCTCCAACCGTAGCCTCAGTTACAGCTTCAGCTTCAGCTACAGTCCCAGGCTCAATCTCAACCCCAGTTCCAGCCTCAAACTCGGCTCCAATTTTGACATCACATTTAGCGCCAGCTCCATCATTAACCTCTGCTCCAATTCTAACCTCCTCAGCTTCAGTTCCAGCTTCAGCTCCAGTTCCAGCCTCCACCTCAACCCCAGCCTCAGTTCCAGCCCCAACCCCCATCCTTGCTTGCATGTCAGCCCCCACCTCGGTCCCCACCCTTGCCTCAGCCCCACCCTCAATCCCCATCCTTGCTTCAGCCCTAGTACCATCTTCAGCTCCAACACCAGCCCCAACAGTATCAGTCACAACTGCCACAACAGTCTCAATGCCAGCTGCCCCAGCTCCAACTGCCCCAATCTCACTTGTCCCAGCCTCAGCTCCAACCCCACTCCCATCTGCCCCATCCCAAACTCAGGCACAGACTCACAAACCAGTCCAAAATTCACTCCAGGCTACAACACAAATATCAAAACAGCCGCCACCTTCAGTTAGGCTGCCTTCAGCTCAAACACCTAATGGCACAGATTATGTAACCCCAGGAAAGTCCATCCAGAACTCACAGTCCCATGGTACTCTTACAGGTGAATTGTGGGATAACAAGGTGACCCCCCCTGCTGTACTGAATGACATCTCTAAGAAATGTAAGTTTGCAGAAGAAGTGAGAGGTGGGGAGCTGCATGGGTTTGGAGTTTCGTGTGTTTTTCCAATTTTATTTATATACTCAGTTTTTCCTAGCCATCTCATTTTTTTTCTTAATAGGAAGCAGTAATCATTTCTTAGTTTTCCATCTTAATTATCTTAAGTTTCTGGAATATCAAGTATGTTAGATTTTTTACAACTTAGCTGTATTTTCATGGATACAGTTTTAAGAAAATAATAAAGTTTAGTGGGTTTATATGAGAGGGCTTCAAAAGTTTGGGGGAGAAATGGAATTAAAAGATAGACTTTTCAACAAATTTTTTAAAGCTCCCTTATTTATTTTAGGATACAAGACTCTTTTTTTTTTTTTTTTTTAAGTGTGATAGAAAACTCAGAATGTTTGGCTACCCTTAAGAGAAAAGATTTAACATACTAGGGATTATTAGCCTCTAAATTTTAATGATCACATTTTCCATGGCTTCTTCTTTTCAGTAGGTCCTATTAGTCCACCACAGCCACCTTCAGTCAGTGCATGGAACAAACCCTTAACGTCATTTGGATCAGCTACTTCATCAGAGGTAGGAATAGAGTGGGTTTGGTGGGGTTAGTGTAGCAGACTTTTCCTTAACCAGTTTTTCAAACTTTAGCATGTATCAGAATCATCTGAAAAGCTATTTTAAAAGATTGCTATTATTTTTACCTTGAATAGTTAGACAGTATAATTTCTTAGAAGCAGAGTTCACAAGAGGTATTTATTGTTTAAAATCGTTTCCCAGACATATGCAATATTGGTATTTAGCTATTAAAATAATTAATTCCCCATTCATTTATTCAACAAATATGTATCTAATACTTGTGATGTACAAGGCAGTGTTCTAGCATCTGCACTTAGAAAATTTGGAAGAGAGGGTAAAGAGACAAAAAAGCTCTTCTTCATGGGGCTTTCATTCTAATGGTGGTGGGGTTGGTGACTAACTACAAATAATATACAGTTGGATGGTAAGTGCTTAAAAACAGTGAAACCCTAAGGAACTTCCCTAGGAGTATGGAAACATTTTTCAATAGGGTTGTCTGGAAAGCCTACTAAGGTGATGAACTGTTAAGGACTTGAAGGACATAGGAGGCTATGTTGTTGTTGTTATTATGTGCCGTGGAGTCGGTTCTGACTCACAGCGACTCTGTACAGGGTTTCTGAGGCTGTAAATCTTTCCAGGAGCAGAAAGCCTCATCTTTCTCCCATGGAACAGCTGGTAGTTTCAAACTGCTGACCTTAAGGTTCACAGCCCGATTCGTAACCACTACGCTACCAGAGCTCCTATAGGAGGCTATAGTACTCAAAAATACATGAGAGACAGTGAATTCCAGGTTGAGACATTGGCAAATACAAAAGCCTTGTGTCAAGAACACTCCTAATGTGTTTGAGGAAGATCAGGGAAGTCCATAAGTGACTTGAGTAAAGTAAGAGAAGGAAAGAAATAAAGTTGGAAAAGAAAGCAAGCAGATCCTGTAAGGCCTTAGGAAGACATCAGAGGATTTTTAGCAGAAGAGTCATAGCTTCTGATTTTTAAACGATTATTCTAGCTTGGTCTGTCAGGAATAGCCTGTGGAGGGCAAACAAAAAGTAGGGTGCTTTTGTAATATTCCAGGTTGTTGTTGTTGTTGTTGTTGTTAGGTGCCATCGAGTTGGTACTGACCCCTAGGGACCTTATACACAGCAGAAGGAAGCACTGCCCAATCCTGGGCTGACCTCACTGCTGTTGCCACAGTTAAGTAGTTAGGCGGTAACTAAAACCAGGGGTGTAGCATTAGAGGTGATGGAAAGTGGTTGGTTTCTGGGTATTTGAAGATAAAGTAGATAAGATTTACTGATGATATGAAAAGTGACAAAAATAAGAGGTTAAGGTTAGCTTGACAGACTAAAAGGTTTGATTTAACCATTTTTCTTTTGCTATTGGTGTTTTAATGATGCTGACGTAAAGAGTAGTAGAAAGGTTGTTTAATTTTTTTTGTTTTTGATGGGTGCACTAAACTGAGTAATTTTATTAAAATATTTAGTGGTCTAGATTTTTAATACCATTAAAGTATAGCAATAATAATTTCTTAGCACTCTAAACAGCTAGATTTTCTTGCAGGCATTCTACTACAACTTGACAGTACTAAAGGGATGCTTATATTCAGCTTCAGTCAGTGGAACACCAAGATAAAGGGTTTTGTTTTCTAGATAGAAGGCAATTTTTGGTAAATGTTTATTATCATGATTTTGGTGTGTTTTCCTCCTTGTGAAATTTTGGCTTTTCACTTTAAATTCATTTTTCAAGATGGAAAGAATTCCCAATGAAACTTTTTTTTTCCCTAGTGAAATAAGTTTCTTAATTATTTTAATAATAATCTTACTTAATACTATGAATGTTAGTTACACCAGATAGATTCATAAAGATTGAAATTATAACCCAATATATAATAATAATAAAAATATATTAAAATATATTGTTGTTAAAGTGCCGTCGAGTTGGTTCCGACCCATAGCGACCCTGTACAGGGTTTCCGAGGCTGTAAATCTTTACGGAGCCGAACGCCTCATCTTTCTCCCGCGGAGTGGCTGATAGTTTCGAACTGCTGGCCTTAAGGTTCGCAGCCCGATTTGTAACCACTGCGCTACCAGAGCTCCACAAAATAAAATATATATGTAATAAAATAAAAATTT